TGATAATTACTGCAGTATCAGCGAGATCAACTGACGGGTAATGCCTAAAGACACCTTGCTTTATCTTGGCACTAATCATATGGATTAATTTTTGCATTAGGCCGCGAATTATCTCGATATCAAGCCCCTTCTTGACGTTGGTTGTAAGACGGTTGCGAATATGATCAAAGGAAAATCTCCTGAGGAGATTCGCAAAACCTTCAACATCCAGAATGACTTTACACCGGATGAAGAGGAACAAATCAGACGCGAGAACGAATGGGCGGAGGAGTCAGTACCTCGCTCTAAACCTTTGGATATCGACGAGGCTTGCTGACGCTGAATTTTTCCTTAGTCGTTAAATCACCTCTAGAACCGATCATTTTCTTCTTTTCCACCTGCCTGCCGATAGCCTTCGGGTTAACTTGGAAACCGGGCGATGTCTTATGGGCGAGAATCGAAAAAAACAAACCCTTAAAAAAATGGGGAAAGCTGTTTAGGTTCCATGTCTTGTTTCTGCGGGAACCGTGACTTGTTTCGTTGTTCTTTTTTACCTTCGTAGTGGGCAATGAAACAAAAAAAACAGGGGCAATCTTACACGCCATCGTAATTTTTTTCTACCTTTTGCTTTCCTTTTCCTTTCTTTTTTCCACTTTCTTAAATACGGTATTGGTGGGGCAAGGAGCTGGGGTTGGGCGGCATCTGGCTAGTCTTTGTTTAGCATGGTTTCGTGTTTCCCAACTTTTTTTCGATGTTACTAAATTCCAACGGCGTTGTGATATTTGTGATGAACTTTCTTGTGTTAGTATCCTCTAAGTAGACTGTTTTGTACTTGTGATGGGTGCATCTGGAGTGCCTTTGTCCGGCTACTACTTGGTGATCAGTTGTTCCCGGGTTTAGGCCAAGCAAGTAATTCCGCCCATTTGTGATGCGTGACAGGGGAGTAGTCAGGCAAGCAGACTTGAGCATAAAGGAGTTACAAATGACGATTATGCCATAAACATTAGCAAGATTAGCCACCACCATACCAACAATCGATTCTCCAGCATTATCGCTGATGGGACCCTTGTCGGTCGCCCGTATCGTAACCACTAACCACTAACCACCGTAGACCACCCTTACCCCTCGACTTAGCTATTAAACCAAGCACAATAGCCTACCTGCTGTTCTTACTGAGTAGTTCAAGTCACCCTCTCCCCATCAATTCTTGTAGGCGGCTAGGCTAACTTGTGGATGGTCTGCAGATATACGTTACGGCCAGGCCGGGTCTGAAGTAAGACCACTGACCTGTGCTTTGTGGGCCCGGATTTTCCAAAGCTTGCAGGCTTCATGGATATTCGGCGACGCCGCCAGTTTTTCGGCATATGCCATGCTGCTGGTGGGTGCTTCGCCAATGCCCGCAGATATCCAGAGATATCTTCTGCTCGCCCAAGCGTGGGAGGCGCGAAGGAAAAATCAAGAGACATTCTGATGGTCTAAGGCACTGAGGGCAGATTGGACGCTGGGCAGTTCCCTATCACTCGATATAGGTTAATCCCAAAACACGGATAAATTACTCGCACATTCACGATTGCTATTCGATTGGCAAGCTAGCGGCATTTCTCCCACAAATTCAGTATCATTACAATCCTCAAACCCCTAACGCCCGTTATGGCCTCTTCCTTTCCCCCTTCACCTATATTACCAGGTTTGGCACAACTATTCGGGGGAGAATCCCACAGCAAGTGCGCTTCAAAGGAAAGAACATAGGGAATCATCTCGTTATCTATGATATGTCCAAGGATAGCGCCTAGTGGTCGTGACATTCGGCCCCGCCCATGGCCAGTGTCTCTCGAGGCACTTATTCTGGTAGGGACCAGGTTTCTTGAGATATGGAAGGCAGAGATGACTTATAGCTTCCAGGAAGCTCAATGCTCAGGCGAGTTCCCGAGTGTCTTTCTCATATGATACAAATATCTTGTGGTTTACACTTTCGGATTCCCCACTAAGATCTGCACACTAGGATCTTTTAACCCCACGGCCATAAGAAATAGTAGTGGGAGTAACATACCATGTCAGTACAGTCATGCATGCGCAGAATCTGTTGGCGCATATCCTAGTGCTCTATTCGGTCCGGTCGATATATACACACACGCCACTTGCTCGCAAACCGGGGCACTCAGTTGAGTGCCCGCCAGCTCGATATAGCTTTGCAGCTCAACATAACTTTGTGGCTCATGATCACTTTCCAGCCTAATATAGAAAGCTCTGTGGCTCAACACGGTATTCGGAGACTACCGTATCATAATATCATGATACATAAAGTTCTGTAGTTATGAACGTCGATAGCATTCATCAAATATTCAGTGCGAACTTTCAACGAATAGGTAGGCTTTGGGCCGAGTCGAGTCACCTAACGCCATACCTCTCAGGGGTTAAAACCAGCATCCTCGGATTCACTAGATCCCCCAAACTTCGGATTTTCCGATCCGGCACAGCAATTACACCCGAGTTTACTCGGGTCTCCGAGCCAAGAATGGGCACCTCGTTAGGAATAGCCCCCGCCGGCCCATAAAAAGTATGGAGTTGAAGAGGTATGTATACACCGCCACCATAGAGAGAGCAATAAATATCACCAACCTCAACAGCAATACCCTTCAACCCTAAGATTGAATGACTCTATCAAACATTACATGCTGCCTTGTTTCCTCACCGCTGCTTATAAAATTATACAGCACGATAGGTCCTTCATCTAATCCTAGCATGGTTCCATTTCATTCATATCATCCGGACTTTGCAGTCCGAAAGGAAGAGCCATTGTCTAATTATTATTTATGATTAGCAGCGATGAACACGATCAGATGCTTGAGCATACCCCCCACCATCCGCTCGAGTATTCTCGTGTCCATAACGGATGATAAATTTACGATCACTCTCGCAGGACACCGGTATGCTGCTCCGCTGGCAAATTCTCTCAAGCAGCTCGAGCACCACACCTTTTATCTGTTCGGGTGTGCTATTCCAAAAGAGGTTCCCATTCTTGGCGCGGAGACACGAGTACCGGTAGTCCTGCCTGACTCGACCTCGGGGACTACGAGTAGCGACAGGCGGCAGTGCGGTGGCGTCAGAAGCTGCTTGAGTGACTGACTGGTGGTCGGTGTCTAACTAGTATACTAGTAATAAGATAAGGGATAAGGTAATATAGCTTGGCGGGGCTAATGATAAGGATACTGGTATTTTGTGACACCATGGTGGTAGGAATTGAGGAATGTGATTAAAGGCGACGCTATAGTAAAAAATCTTTGGCTTATGTTATTAGATTTTACTAGTACTCGAGTAATTTCTCATTGTTCTTACAGCATTCGTTGGGGTTTCGATCTGCAAGCAGGCATTGTTTCAAGCTTTTCCAAGTTGTCATCCTTCCCTTCTGGTTATCTGTGCCCCAGGGATGAAGTCCAGGCACCCGGACCTACGGCCGATAGTGGATCTACACTCTTCTTCCGCCCCCGAAGGCTCTCCGTGTCTGTCTACCCCCGGTTACTTGAGTGGGAGATCATGACGCTTTGCCCGTGCACTGGAAAGGTTACTGTTGGGTATCGCCGTCCAGCCCCCCACAAGCTGCGTCAAAGGGATGTCTATATGTCGTAGTATGACGTCCACGAGAGAGTTTTCATTTATTTAGGAATTTGTTTATCCCTCCTAGGAAGCCAAGCAAGTCACCTCTGCCACTCGTGCCGGCACACATTTGTCTCCTATTTTACCTCTATTACGGTGCTCGTCTGTCATAAGTTGATCAGTGTATGGGCCCCCGAAAGCTTTCGCACTTGCACATCTGTGATTCGTAACCCCCCAAATTCTGTTTTCCTAACAGCATATTCTAGATTTTTCTTCTTTTTTTCTCATCCCTAATATATCGGCTCCAATAATTCCTTCGATGCCCAACCATAATAATAATAATTTTTTTTACTAGAGTACAAGACTTGGTGAAGGCAAACCAAACCAAATCCACCTGGTATCAGGATAAGTATTCCTTCTTTTGGTACTGTCTGAAATACCTAGCTGGCGCAGTGGTTAATATGACAAGGGCCAATGAACCCCTGTGCGATTAGGAGGAGCCTAGGAGTTCAATTTCTCTCATTATGAGTTACCATGATACTATCATACAAGGCGGTATGATAGGATCCTACTCCGGGCCTCACCTAGGGGTGGGGTTTGCAATCGGCGGGGTATGATAGTAGAAGAGAGTGAGAAAAGAGAAAGGAAAAGCTTTTTTTTCTATTTATTTCTCTCCTTTGGTTTAGAAGAATGGAGAAAGCAACTGGAGATCCAGAAGGCTATGCAGACTCTCTAGTACGAAACTGGCTGAATTAGTCTGTGAAGATGGCCATCTGCCACCAAACCACCCCTCCACCATTGCTTGCCTTGCAGGCTTTTTTTTTCTTTTTTTTTCTTTCTTTCTTTCAAAGAACTGTGTTATTGTCCCTGGTCAGTCACCTTCACCTTGTCGTACCAGTGCCGTCCTCACGACGAGCCTCTTTAAAATCGGACACAATCCTCCGGCTGAGAACATCTCACTGGGGATATTTTAGCACCCGGGTGGCTCAGTGTACGGGCTGTGTTTGGCGGTCTTGGGGTGTTCATCCGGAATATAAGACCCGTCCAAATCCTGCTGGGCATGCCCCCCTCCCCCCCCCAAAAAAAAGCCCTTCGTTCTCCCGTGAGCACGGGCAATGAATTGAGGATATCTCTGGCAGGATGCCTCCTACGATAATCTTGTATACCCCAACCTTTCCCTTTCCACCTATCTCCCAACACTATATACGAGTAAACCCCTTCAAATCTATGATATTCCCTATTTTAGGAATAAACCAATAAATTGCACAGGTGTTAGGGAGAGCGGGCTGGGATAGGGCGTGACTGGCGTGGAAAGGTATGCAAGCTTCGTCCTCCCCCAGTTTGGCGCTTCTCCCAAACTGATCGTAAAGACAAGGTATATAATAAATATTATTATAATATTATAAGACATAACAAAACCATCCCGCTCTCCCCATGGATCACCACACATGTCCGTCTTTTTCCATGCATGTTCCTATCCTCCCCCTTACCCTCGTGATAACAGAGGAAAGACACAATTATAGAAGCTTCTCGGTAAATAATTACAGCTCCAGAATGAAGAAATGACCCACGCCATATCCGCAGCTTCTACAATCATCCATACCTCATGAACCCCCCTCCCCGCCCCTCCATCCGCTTTTTTACACCCTGGAAATCTGGTGTTGCGTTCTTTATATTCCCGAGAGCATCCCCCAACCAGCCATCTCTTCCGCCTAATCGAGAGAACCGGAGAGGAAAACAACCGAAAAAGGCCTGGAAGGACTAAACAGAGAAATCAAGGAGCGAAGGCACCACTCGATCTCACGATTCAATGCCAAGGTAATAAATATCATAATAATATTTAATCATGCTATAAATCTCACACATTTGGCGCCTGGAGAAAAAAAAACTAAAGAACATTACCTCCCAATTGAAACAT